GCAAATGCCCCCCTGGTCACAGCTGACAAATGATGGTCAAAAGTCAGCTGTGGGTCCAGGAGGACTCCCAAGTTGCGGAGAACACTGGTGACAAAGGTGGGATCAGGTCTGAGGTAAAGGAAAGAAGTGAAGTCACTGTTAGAGCTGTCTCAAGTCACTGGCGACGAGACATCGCTCCAAGGCTAATTCATTACGTTCCGTCCTTCTAAGGATGGCTAACCTATTGGCATTCGCGGCATTCAGCCCAGCCACTGAAACATGGGACGCCTACCTCGAGCGGTTCGAATGCTTCCTGGAGGCAAACGACTTCACCGGTTTGTCTAATGGCCGTAAAAGAGGCTATTTTCTTAGCGCTTGTGGCCACGAGATGTTTGGAACAGCTACGGCTTTAGCAGCCCCTCAGTCCGTACATTCGATGCCTTGGCAGACACCTTTGGAGAAACTTAAAAATCACTACTCTCCAACTCCCTAGCGCATAGCCAGATGCGTTTAGGCAGAGGACCGAGAGAGAAGGGAAATCCGTGACCGATTACATGGCTTCCCTCAGGACAGCTACTCTAAACTGTGACTTTCCTGTGCTGCATGATGCCCTGTTAGAACAGCTGGTCTGTGGTATCAAAAACCTCAGACTTCAGCGACATTTGCTGGTGCGAAAAGAGCTGAGCCTTCAGGCAGCCGTGGATGACAAATCCACTGCAGAAATTCAAAGATTTCTGCCACCGGCCACCCAAGCCAGCAGGGGCTACACTGTCCACCACAAAGAAGATGACGATGAAGACTTCTCAGGCAATGAAGAAGAGGTCAGCCGCCTCAAACTGGCCACCAGGAAAAGAACTCAGACTGACTTTTTACCTCAGCCAATTTTAAGTTGCCTGCACACTGCTCACCCAGGCATTGTGCACATGAAATCTTTGGGTCGAAGCTACATGTGGTGGCCCAAAATTGACCAAGAAATAGAACACTGGGTAGCCACCTGGCAATCTAGACCGGCTCCCCCATTGGTGCCCATCAGGGAATGGGACATGCCCCAGGCTCCATGGACACGAGTCCATTTGGACTTCGCTGGTGCGTTCTTAGGGCAGAACTTCTTAGTCATAGTAGATGCCTACTTGAAGTGGGTGGAACTGACACTCCATCCACCACTTCAGAGGCCATAATTAGGGTGTTAGGAAGGCTTTTTGCAACCCATGGACTGCCTGATGTGGAGGTGACTGACAACAGGCCCCAGTTCACGTCGGTGCCTTTCCAAATG